AGGAGGAGGAGGAGGTGGAGGAGAAGAAGAAGATGAAGAGGATGAAGAGGAGGAAGAGGAGGAGGTGGAGAAGGAGAAGAAGAAGAAGGAGGAAGAAGAAAAATATAATTAATTAATGATAGTATATATATAAATATATATATATATAAATATATAAATATATTTAGGAGAAAAGGATGGAAAAAGCAAAAAGAAAATGTTTGGACGTGCGCGTGCGCAGGCCACCAGCCCCCATGCATCGCCCGCCGCGCACCTCTCTCTTATATATAATATAATAATTATACATAGACGGTACACACACACACACGATGATTATTATTACTATTATTATTATTATTAATTATTATCAAAGCATCAAAATATTCATAAGTTATATCAACCGTTTGTTTCTCGAACAATATATGTTTTTTCTATATCTCTCCGTATTAAAGCAAATAATAAAAAATCTCTCAGTGAATGTTAACAAAAAACAAAAAAAATTCAACAAAATAATGAACGAAAAAGCCCAGGCTGGTGGTTGTCCTCCTTGCTTCTACACCATACGTCCCTCCGTTCCCATATGTCTAGAACCTTCGGGTAGACTGATTGGTTTAAATCGGTAGCGGGATTATCCGTGCGTCGGTTTGTATCCTTCTGAAAAGGATTCGAGACAGCCTATCTGCAAATAATCCTTTTTTGAAATTCCTTTTATTGTTTAATATCAATCTCAAAGAATTCCAGTTATTCCATAATTATTCCAAAGACGCGTACTGCATTTAAATCAGTCAGACGATACCTCTCGCATCTACTTGTTAACATCTCGAGCGTTTCGGTTGTCTTTTACGGCTGTCTAAGATTTATCGTTCTCTGTTAACCGCTATGTTTATGCCTCAGCAGGCCTTCTCCTATGCACGTAATTAGCAATGCCGAAACGGAACGTCACCGAAATCTCGTGCGAAGAGCCAGGACTATATTAAAAGCGGGATGAAATTGTAAAGTAGCTAAACAAGAAGTGTACAATAGACGTCAGCGCACAGAGGGAGCCACTCGTGTACATATAATTATCAAAATATCCGAATATCTCAGTTGACCAACGTTCGCATGTAACGAAGCCTCCGTTGAGCATGTACAAAAGAAAACTCTCCCCAGCATGGACTACCAATCGAGGCACCGTAACACCGACGCTATCGCAAGACTACCAAAAACCGCATCGTACGACGCCGCCCACCGCGTCGCGGAGCCACTGGTCATGTTACAGCAATTGTCCATCGCTTCCTCGAGTACCATGGGATAGTACTCGTTCCAGAAAGCGAGAGCCTTGTAATCCACCGCGTTACCGTTGCTCATGGCCATGTTCCTGTCGATGATCAGTATACCGGGCTCCTCTTCGGTGTACTGTTCCCACTTGATGACGTTCGTCGAAGGATTCCCGGACTTGGCGAAGTTGGCCAGCATCGACATCATCACCTCGGACATCTGTTTATCGGCGATGTTCCACGGGATCGAGCTGGCGGGGACAAGCGGCAGGCCCCAGACGAACGGCAGCTCGAACATGTGCGGCACGCCGGCCCACTCGGGCACATCCTTCGTGATGAACTGCGTCTTAGGTCGGTAATCAAACCTATAAACGAACGCCGGCTTCTCGTTGGAGATCTTGCCCGCCAACAGGGTCAAGCCAGCTGCGAAATTCTTCTCGGTTTGCAGGTCCAAGTATCTGTCCCTGAGGACGCCTTGGTCCTTGGTCGGCGGATGCGGTTTGTAGAAGAACAGCACCGCGTCGGCCACCATTTCAGGCTTCATCTTGCAGGTGGTGTTGTCCTCGAGGCTCGAGGCCGCCGCGAGAAACTCGTCGGTGATCAGCGTCTCGAATTGACTCGAGGACAGCTTGCCGTCTGTGTTCCCCTTGCCCAGCGACTCCATGTACGCTAACGCTTGCTCGTTGTTGGTGTAGCCGGCGAGCAACGGCACGCTGTTCAACTGACTGCTGTCCAACGCGTCCCGGGGATGCACGGGCAGGAACGGTTCAGTGGAGTTGTTGGTCTCGGCGTCCAATATCGGGCCCCAGGTCTCGATCGTCGAAGTATGTTGCAACAGGACGTTTACGTCCAGCCGGCGAAGACACTCCATCAGCGCTGACGTGGGATGTCTGTAGCAGCCGAACTTATCCGCAATGAAGTCCACCACGGGCAGCTCGGCCTCCGGGGAGCCCACCGAGCTGATGGCGTCGCCGCTCATTGCGATCGCCTTGGAGAACTTGCCTTTGCTCATGGGACTGATCAGATGCAGACCAACGCTGATCGCCCCGGAACTGTGACCGTATATCACCACGTTGGACGGGGAGCCGTTGAAGTACTGGATCTTCTTCTGCACCCAGTCCAGGGCCGCGATCTGGTCGAACATGCCGTAGTTACCCGGCGCCTCGGCGTCCGTTGTTGTGAAGTAGCCCAGGATGTTCAGGCGATAAGCTACTGTGACCACTAGCACCTAGAAACAATTAGAGGTTAATACTAGCTTTTAATCCGGATGTGCCCGAAACCACTTTTTTCTCTGACTGTTTCGAGTAACGCTGTCTCTCCTGGATTCGGTATTCAGATGTTCGATCAACCTTCGAGAAGGACGATGGGCATGTCTGGGTTAAGGGAGACAATGTACAGATAGCCTCCGTATAATCGGACACTTGTGTTTCGAGAACGTTCTTCTAAGAATCTAGCCAAAAGTAGAATGATTATTTAACGTTAATGCAAGTCCTAGTATTAATGTTAGATAATAATAAATGCCAATTTTTAAACATCTTCCAGCGGAAACGCGTTATACGGGGGTTGCCTGTGTTCCCACTAATAAGAAACAAAGTTCTTCGATGACAGAAGATTCTCCTGTTATTGTTAAAGTTGAGGTACATTTGCAATCACACATCATCGATTACGTGGAACTAAATAGGGTTTAAATATGTAGGAAAAAGGTTCGAGGAAGATACTCTAGAGACTTCCGAGAGTAGGCGAAAACAATAGAGACGAATCGAACTTTCCATTCGCGCGAGGTCATCAAAATATTAAAGTTAACGAACGCCGGAGATAATGAAAGAGAAATTTAGGAATTATGGACGTACGCTGGACCAGGCAATAACGAATTTAACGGTGTCCAGTTTGTATTTACTCGAGAACCCGTATCCTGTGGTGTCATTCCGTGTTCTATCATAGATTTTCCAACATGCTACGAATTACTTGTTCCGGATAGTGTATTTATAGTATGGAGCAACATAAGAAAAACGTGTTTCCAACCAAGAATAAAGGTATTTACAAAAAGATAGACAATAATTTTATCCAAGCGAGACATCACTTAGAATATTAAGAACACTCGACGAACATCGACGACTTTGTTAACCGTTCGTGTAGCGACACCGTGACTCTTTAACCGGTCTCGCGTTAATAATCTTTTCCGTGGGGACGTCGTCGTGCACGGGATCTGCAGTAACAGTTCCTCATGAATGCTTCGAATTAGCATTTACAGCGGTGCATAAAGCATGCATCATAGATGGACCCGTAATGCAATTCCAAAGGTTGAATTTACCTTGGCCCGATCCGGCACGCAAGAAACACCCTAATTTCGTTCGATTTTCTGTCGGCTCTCCGCGGTCGTCTCATTGATTCGGAATCGGATACTCTTTCCCCGGGAATGTGTGCTAAGGTCAGAACGCCATCGGCGATTTCTTTCCGGCGCGTGTTATAATGTCTTTCTAACGCGGTGACCTTTCAATCTAGATGCATTAATCAACGACCGAACGTCTATACGCTCGATCCGTTTCAAACAAATTAAACGATACTGCCTGTACTCACTTTCTGTTTGCTGACGAACACAGACGCGTCCCAAATCGCCGGGGTACCGGTGTTGAAGTCACCCCCGTGGAACCACACCATCACGGGCCACCCATCGTCCGGTCGATTACCTATAAACACATCGATCAATAAAATTTCTTTCCATTCAACTGGACGTGATTTTTCTCTAGTACTGTATTACCCTAAAACGTGCGGTGAGAAGTTACGTGACACTTCCTTGTTTGATATTTCATTAAGTCGAGAAAGTGACGATCCAAATAATCCCTATTGATTAGGAATGTTGATTAAGAAAGAAAATTGCTGCCGAAGAAGCGACTGCGACCGGAACCCGAGGAATTCATGGACTCATTAAACGAGCCTGCATCCCCGGTTCCGGTTGAACCGGTGAATCGATCGTGACAGAATTTGCATAGCGTCATCCCCTGTTCGCTGCGAGACAATCTGCAGTCATTTGCAGCGTCGTGTCTAACCGGAGCTTCCTCGAAGCCCTCTAGAATGTCTTGATAGAGCCAACAATAATAACCAATGGCAAGAAACATTTACCTATTAACCCTTTGCACTCGAGAGGTGACTCAGTCACCATTTAATTTCATATAACAAAATTCCAAAGTGTTATATATAATATTGACCCTTTGCACTCGAGAGGCGACTCCCAGTCGCCAAATGATTTAATACAGCGAAATTATAAACCTTGGTATATACCATTAACCTTTGTACACTGCAGCAATACGTGAAATATTTCAAGAAAATAGCTTTGTTCCCTAATTCGTGTGTGTTTTCTTGGTAAATTCATTTTAAAGAATCTTCACAGCACCTAATTACGAACTATTGAATATTTCAAATGAGAAGCTTTCGAGTGCAAAGGGTTAAGTTCTGTATAATGCAGCTGTATGTGAAATATTTCTATAAAACATCTTTGTTCTTTAATTGACGTATGTTTCCTCATTAATTCGTTTCAAATGTCGTCTATGTTTGAAAGTGTCGAATGTTTCTAGTGAGAAGCTTCCGAGTGCAAAGGGTTAATCGAAACGTAAGAGGAAAAGAAGAAAGAATACACGATAATTTTCCGATTACTAAATACTCGATGAGAGACAATTATTTAGGAATCAATTATCCGAAACAACAGTACTGAAACTTCACTTCGGAATAATTCTCATCCACTGTAATCGCACTCCGAAAGTGGAACAATTAGGAACCGAACCGATGAAGGGTTAAACGATTCACCGGGTAAAAAGTAGCTTCTTTAACGTGGCGGGAGGCGCGCACGAGCACGGACAACCCCCCGGCGGTAGCGCTTGAATAATTAATTTCGGCGAAATTCTTCAGCGTCACTGGCTCGGTTTTTGAAGCGTGCCAAGGTCGATGAAATTCAGGCCATTGCACGGTGGGACGCTTTAGATGGCGAGATACGGGGGAACGATTGGAGGCCCCGCTAACAGGAAGTTCGGGGCTGGTTTTCGTTATCGGGCAACGATGGTGTCTGAGACGTCCAGGAATAGCTACGCCGGGATCCACCCACACCGCGACAATTTATTAGACGTTTATCGCGATCACGGTGCAGCACGGGACCCGTCTGAAGCCACGCTTCTCGCAGCTGACAAATAGTTTAGGACTATTACATTTCGCTTGGCGACTGTGCTGCTAGCTTCCGGGTTCAGTTCGAGATTTACATCGGAGACCAGATTCTTCGGAACATTGTACTAAGATTTATTCGATTAAAATGTTCACCGTTTGATCTATCCCCGACATGTCGAGTCTAGCAGTTCTATCTGGTCATCGGTGTATCTCCCTAGATGTTCTAGAGTGCGTCTGTACGCGATTGAAATCTAGAGTGATGAATTCACTGGAACATGCTATTTACATACCGATTAATCTTCCGAGAATCATGTGGAAGGCTTTTTTTATCTCGATGTTCATTAGACCGTAGTAGAAACCTTTGAGGATTCGAATGAAACTATCGTTTTCTGCTAGGGTTTCAGGATGTTATTAACCCTTTGCACTCTGTAGGCTCCAATATTGCACCAGTTGGAATATTGAATATTTTAGTGAATCAGAGAAACTACCCTGAAATTATTAGATTTTCCACACATCCAAATTTTGTACTGAGAATGGAAAGAAAAGTTTAGAATATTATAGCATTTTCCATTTTCATTGGAGGTACTATAAAAATTGCAGTTGCTGACAGATTACAAAACAACCAGGAGTGCTAAGGGTTAATATTTCAGATTAAATTTTGCATTGCCAATTGAAATAGTTAAATAAAACAGCTCTGTTGCTTAGTTTATCTATGAATTATCGTTAAATTAGTTTCAAACAATATCACCTGTATCTCGTCAGAATAATACTTCCATTGAAATACTTTCGAGTGCAAAGGGTTAACTCTCTTTGTACTGAGAATGGAAAGAAAAGATTGGAATATTATAGCATTTTTCATTTTCATTGGAGGTACTATAAAAATTAGTTGTAGTCGCTGACAGATTACAAAACCATCTGGAGTGCTAAGGGTTAAATGTGACCGAGAGGTTGAAGTATATCACTGTTCTTTGAAAGTATCGAGTTTCCAGATCAAGCAGGACTTTCGGTAGAACGATGGAATAGTTCGATAACGAAACAATTTGAAGAAATTCGGCAATCGTACGCGAAAAAGAAACAATGGGGGACTGCCATAGGAAAGAAAGAGGGGGTGATTTCGTGACCGACCTCAGCAGTATCTTAACATCTCGACCGACCCTAAAAGATCGCGTGCCACGACGTGCGCCAGTTACTGCTACTCTTACTCCTTGGCTGTTTCTATATCGACCGTGTGTTGGCTGCCGGGATAGGGCACGATTTCCTGATTCACATGTCCCTTTTCCTGTTTTCACCCCCATGTTCGATCCCGCGTGACACTCGCCGGCAGAACACCTATTTCTCTCGATCCCCTTTCTTAGCCCTTTCTTCTGAGCAGAAAGTTGGCACCCGCGACTCCGTAACACGCACCAATCAACAATCACTGCGTGGTCGCAAGGCAAAATAACATCATTAGCGGGCTGCGGAAATTCGGAATTTTATTACAAACTCTGTGTCAGGGTATAAATTAACGAAAGGTCTCATTAAACTTTCAACGTGCTGACTTTTAAGCAACCGTGTACCGCTTTATGTACGCATAAAACCAGCAGTGTAATCGTTTAGTCACCTAGATCTTCGACCTGCCAGCTCGGTGTTGAACGAATAATTCTATTAGCTTAACGTGGTCTTCTTTCATCGAAAGAATACAAATTTTAATGATTCTAATGTTCTTCGTATGCGAGCTTTTTTAAGAATTACTCAGCCCGTTGTTTAGCCTTGCGATTACAAAATTGCTAGTTGGGCACTTCGATAGTGATAAAAAAAAGTCTGATGAAAGACAAGATTGGTCCTTGGCAAGGTTACCGGAAGATGACTATACTGTCGTAGCAAAGGCCATTCGTTGGGCGAGTTTATCACACGGGAAACTCGTGGACGTTGCATTTTTCTTAAATATCCATTATAAAATCCTTGTTAATCATACGTCAGCCGAAGATACGATCGTCTCTCGATATAATTGCAGCATAGAGAGAGCTAGTTACGGGGTCTATTTCTGAGTGAGCAACACTCCCGACCCATATCTCGGACTCGTAAAAATTTCCACGTGATAATCGAGCCGGTGAAGGTCATCGAAGATTGTCCTAAGGCACCAGAAATTATAACGTTAAACTTTTATCTCGGATTTATCGTGCGATGTCAATCATGCTCGTGTCACGACGAACGTCGGCGTTTCGACGTTGAAACCCAACACTTTTAGCTCAATAAAGTTGTCAGGGCATGATCGGAAAGCAGAGAAACGGATTTAAAGGGGAATTCGTGAGTCTCTGTGATCAGATATCCACCAATGGCTGGCCATATCGATTCCCAGGGGTGTTCTACTCGATTTTTCTGACTCACGGCAGCATGAGACATCCAAAATTAGTTCGAAATGATGCCGGTAATGCCGCCATTATTCCAGTCCTTCACCGACATCCTTAAACAGAGAGATTTACGTACCGGTGACACGCAGAGGCCGACGTTTATTGTCAATCGAGAAATTGGAGCAGGAAATTACTGCGGATATGAAATTATCGTTAATCGTACGATGATCGGTGTACGTAATTAAAGACCGCCGCTGACGATTATACTCGTTCCCATATTTTAGATAAATGACACGTTTCAATAAGAAACTCGAGTTAATAAGTCGTCGCGAAATTAGGTTGAAAATACTGTTGCACACCTCGTGCGACCTTTCTTTCTAGGAGAAAGTAATTTTCGAATTACTGACATGCTCCCGACAATATGGCGCCCGGTGCATTGACGCGCGTTGAAGTCTTCCGAGTCGTTTCCTCGGCGATCGAAGTTTTTCAAGAAATTTCGACTTGTTTAAGCGGAAAATCATTTTCTAGGAACATTCGTGCTTTGTTTAAGTTTCACATTTATTTATACGCGTTATCATGTTTCCCGAGTCCACGGTAGTTAATTCTTCGAGCGTACCCTTTGTCGCGCGTCGCTGGAAAAAAAGGGAAAAATGAAAAACAACTTTCTCGAACCGACGACATTCTAATCGCCGGCTTTTCTTCTGCGCCGCGATAGAGATCGTGTCACACTGTGCGCGGTTCCGTGATATATCGGTGAAACAGAAGAAAGGGAGCCGGTCGGAGTTGATCATCATTAGCAGACGCTCGCGTGCCGCGGCGACTTAAGTGTTACTCGGAAGAAACGTTGTCGTGACGCGAGTATCGAGGATTTTCATCGGGCGTGTGCTATCAACGCAGACGAAAATCACGAGAACCCGGTCTTTGTGTCAAACGAGCACCTTTCGCCGTTGGCGAACGCGATCGTCGCATTTCCTAGCGTTTGCTAATGCCGCGGATACGCTAACCGGTTAACGGATATCACTGGAAACCACTAACCCCTCGGAAAAAATAATCATCATCGATTTTGCAATCCGACCACCGTCGGATCATTACTACACCCTCTTTAAAATGATAAAATCCATTAATAGCTGGAATTAATAAGGCTACGGTCTGTTTGCGACTGTTATTCACAGCCAACGAGACTCAGAAACATTGTATTCCCTTCGTTAGAAGAGATTAGAGGTACTTTTACATTATTCCTCACTTAGTACTGAATAATTAAGCAGAAAAATCTTATTATGCAGTATTTAAGCATTCCTTTTTAGAAAGTTCAACGAAGTTCTTATCGGATCTCGGAGCTAATAAACAGCTTAAGGAGGAAAGTTTCGACTTCACTCGCGTTATCGTCGATTAACCTTACAAAATGAGATATCCTTAATCCGCGTACAGATCAATTAACAAGAATGAATTAAAATATGGTTGAATGAAGTCACGTTGGAGTGTTTACAATGAAACTTACGTGACATTTCTTATCAAATTTTCGTAATTCTTACCGTCTGGCACGTAGATGTTCAGGTACAGACAGTCCTCGCTGACTCCAGGATCAGGCTGATCAGGGGGCAGCAATCTTTGGTAGAGTTTCTCGTGTAGCTTCAGCCTGTTGGTCATTTGCGGGCAGGAGGGTGCGAATTGCGTCGCGTTTCTTATTCCGCTCCAGGATGGCAGAGGGTCGGTGACAGGGGCTGCGAAACGTAATTTACCCAGGGGTGGTTGCGCGTAAGGTATCCCCAGGTACTGCGTCACTTTCTGCGGACGACTTAGAAACACCTGTGCTCGAGAAAGTGGAAATTTCTTTAAAACAAAATAAACTGTAGGTTCTAGAGTCTCTAGCTGCAGCTCGAGTCAAATTTGCTTTTTGGTAACTCTTTGTAACTCGTGTAGCTAAAAGGACTAGCTACCATAGTATCGAGAGTCAATGAAATTTCGCTAGGAACATGGAAGTATTCTAGGAAAATAGACTGAGTCATGCGAACGAAAATATAAATAGGTGTACCGACTATTCCTGAATACATCGATCATTATATACTGTATCTAGAGTCGTGTCTCCGGAATCTTTCTAGAGTTTAGTTGATGATTATAATGAATTAACATGCGTTGCAATAACATTCTCGAGTATACCGGATAGCAATTCGAATCGACAATTGTTAGGATCTCTAGGGACATCGTCTCCAGAGTGAACATTAACCCTTTGCACTCTAGAAATTTGTCACTAGAAATATTCAATTTATTTCTATGAGATATGGATGACATTTCTTTCAACTAACTTAACGAGGAATCTATTCATAAAATAAGGGGAACAACGGTATTTTATTTCCCCATTTCACGCATCGGCAGATTACTCAAGACTTAATGTTAAATACGGAATTTTACAATTTTGATGCACCAATCGAGTGGTGACTGAGAGGCACTTTTGGAGTGCAAAGGGTTAACCCTTTGCGGACGTCGACACTTCGGAGAAATGAAATTTTCATATTTGGAAGCCTAAGTCGTCAACAAATGTTTTAGTTACTCTGACAGCAAGAGATCGGCTGGTAGTTTCCTTTTTTCCTATGAATTAAGTAATTGATATTTCATTTGACTTCATTTGGTGAAGACTTTGTATATTTCAAAGTATCTTCGTCGGCAAAGGGTTAATGTATTCGCGACGCTAAATGAAATACTCGAGGGTTTCCCAGCGAGACCCGAAATTAACGCATCTGATGAATTGGTTACGTGTATGACTGCAGATAATGGTCTCGAAGCGACTCCTAATAACAGCCTCGAAACACGTGATTTCAAAGTTGGCTCTGAATATCATGTAACGATCGCTGATTCGTTTGTCCCCGGGACGTAATTAAAGTAACATTACTCATGCCCCATGGTTTTTACCGATTTCTATCTAAACTACACGGCGCAGCTTGTTGTTGTAGAAATTGCAGCGTTGTGAAATCGTTCGAGTAATCATTGACGATCGGTACCGAGGAAGTATTTATTTCGATGATTTTGTTCCGCCTCCGTTGCGAAAGTATTCGAAAGATTAGGGGACCGATGAAAAGTTTGCATTGTGTTTAAAAAGTATAGGCATGTTGCATAGAAGGTTATACACGTACAGCCGGACGAGCATTGAATTTAGAATTGGAATAGAGATGAGACAATATGCAACTGTAAATTAACCCTTTGCACTCGAGAGGCGCCTGTCACTCGTCATTTGATTTAACATAACGAAATTATAAAATTTAAAATTCCATACTAAATTTTCTGTAATCTACCAACACATGGAACATCGAAATAAAATAGTTTCGTCACTGAATTTATGCAAGGTATTTCTTTATGTTAATTGTAAAAGATACCATTGATATATATTTCATCAGAACATAAGCAATGTTCGTCGTGAAAAATATTCTCGAGTGCAAAGGGTTAAATTTTAACGACATGAAAATGTCCAGGCAACTCGTCTATCGTGAAACAATTGATCTTCGGTAGTACCAAGTATCTATTTCTGCTGTTCGCAACTGGTGCACCAAAACTAAAATATCACTAATGAAGGAAACAGTTATATATTAATATTAATGAGCCGAATGTCACGAGTGAAACTGTGCAGAAGTAATCAGTGCATTAAATTTCATATAATTGCATCATTTCGCAGAAATGCGAGGGCAGGAGGGGCGGGATTATACTTTGAAATGAGACCGAGGTGGCACGGTTCTGAAAAAGTTTTTTTTTCCCTCTGCGGCGGCTAGACGGGGCCGGCCGGAGCGAAGAAAAAGAAATAATCTATAATATTAAAATTCATAAATACCGGCCAATCGGTTATGCATACATCACGCTCTCCGCATCTGCATACCATTAATCCGAACAATTGAAACTTACTGCGCCTCTGTGCTTTTTTGTTTTCCGTTAAATAATTATTCAAACACGGCTCGCGCCGCTGCCGGTTTTCTTTTCCATGCCGGACATTGATATACGCGTTTCGGGCGCATATAGCGGCGTCTTACGCAATAAAAGTGTGATAGCCTACACTTTCACGTGAGGAACCCATTAAAGGGGTGGGAAAACAGTGGATAAAAATACAGCGGTATTAAGCACTGGATCACGGCACACGAATTCCTTCGCTTTCTTCGAGCAGCGTATATCAACCCCTAATTGGCACTGCGAAACGTGAACTATTTCCACGCGAGGATTTCTCGTAAAAATATTACAAAATACTTTATTTACCGAGAAGAACAAACACGTTACCAAACCGTAGGTACACAGGTGCTCGTAAAAATGAAAAACTAAATACCGCTTCCGTCGATGATACACCGAAGCTTCGATCTACAGAGGTAACCCAGGAAATCCATCCCCTGAAGTCAAATAGAACTCGCGGTTATAAAATAAAAAGAACCCGACTTTCGATCAACCGAAAAACAAACATGCTTTGACGATCGGACTGCACGATCAAAAACAAGGGAAATCTCCATTGCGAAATCCGCCTCGTCGTCAAGCATAACCGCAATCGCGAAAACCGTTTCGTTGAATCGCATAGCAACCATATCCACCGGGTTGCGCACCGAATGGCTCGAGGGACACGGGACGAAGAGGATCAGCAGGATGGACGAACGAAGATCACGCAGAAGAGTGAAAAGGCAGCTTTCAAACGACGGTAAACGTACGCGTTGCTCTCGTGTAAACACAATTTGTTTAATGCCAGGACTATAGACGTCGCACACGTGGCGCATTACACGTCTCCGCAGAAGCGGGGACAGTTTCAGTGACTGAAGCACGACAGTGGATCACGCTGTGATCACCGATTTTCCTTCAATGTCTCGAGTGCAACCCACGGAAGACATCCAAGCTTCAAACTGATTCTTCCTAAATCCAAGGAAGAATCCGTCCAGTCAATCTACTTCAGAAAACGCGTAACACGTACGCGAAACATCCACGTACTCCTGGCGTCGTTAGTCGCTTGGGTGCAAAAAATTTCCGAAATGCGTATCGCGTGAGAGTCGTCGTTTAAAAGCTTCCTCTTTCCATTCTTTGGCATGTCTATTCGAAGTGGATGATACGTGAATCGTCCAAATTGTCGCACCTCCTTCCCGGCGACCGATCCTTGGTCCGGGATCCTCACGAGGGGCTGCTCGCGTCCAAGCCCCTGCCTCGCGTGGGTCCTCTGGGATCGCGTAACCGGTATCCCGGCGAAGAAATGCGGGAACAGAGCGAGAACGAGCCACGCCGGACACTTCATTCTGCAGACTGACTGATTTGCTTCGGAAACAATCGGCCGTCTCCCGTGCGGGCCTCGGTTCGCCGTTGCGTGACTCCAGCCGCCAACCACCCTCGGCCAGTTTCTCCTTCCTTGGAGCTTCGAACACGACGCGGTAAGGAGGTCGGGGCCTGCGCTCTTTCGCCCTCGCGGGCTGCTTTTCTTCGCTCCCTTCTGGAACGGACGCGACGCACCTCCTTTCGCCCTTTCCCTCCAGCGCACGCTGGCTGGCGAGCCTACGTCACGTCTATGGGAAATCTGTTTTTCGATCTCGTTCGCACTGTTGACCTCTTGGTTTATATTTGGACTGTCGATTCGTAGGTAAATGAGAAACTCGGCGATGCGCGGGAACAGGGGTTAACCCTTCGTTCTGAGATTCGAGGAGTGTGATAGTCGTTTGTGGTTGGTAGTTTATTGGGAAATTTGGCAGTTATTCTAGGGGTAGGTTTGCTTTAACCCTAGGCGGAATGTCGAGGCAAGCAAATGATTGAATTACTCAAATAGTAAGAGATCAGCATGTAGCTTCTGTTTTTCCTATTATTTAGGCAATTGATGTATCAGTTGGTTTGTCTGCTAAAGATCTTGTGTATTTCAAAGAATCTTCGTCCGCGAAGGGTTAAGGTGTTAGGGTTGATTAAATTGTGGTTGGAATCTTTGATGTGAAATAAAGTATCGTGTTCCTGTTATCGATAGTTGAGCTTTAGTGGGGATAAATAGGATTGGAACGTAGGAACATGGAATTCCTTTTTATTTTAGCAAATTGGCGATGACGAGGTAGCAATGAGCGGAGTCACGGAAGAAGTGAAACAAGGGGTTTACCGTGTAACGGAGAATGAGTCGTCTGTGATTCCCAGTTCGGTGGATATTTTTCATTTTCAGGGAATTCCTTTAATAGAATTTAATGGATCAGAGACTCGTCAACCCCCGCTTATTCACAGCGTTGACTCTCCAGGGCTCTCCAATTTCCGTAGCTTTTCTAAAGGATATGTCGGACACTGGGTTATAGACTGTTATTCTCGGAACCGGGATAGCATACGGGGGTAATAACGGAATGAGATTGAAGAAACACTGAGAAGACGGAGTGATTGAAAAGGGTGGCGGTTAGCGTGACCGCAAAAATCGAAGGAACGAAGAGATAACGAGCGAAGGCATTAAGTAATATGCGCGTCGGACATAGGTGAAAGGTGATGGTATAGTGTGCGGAATGATTGAAGTCAATTGGGGCAATGAATTCAACCGTGGGCCGGGTTGAAACCGAGAAAACGTCGTGAAAGAAAGATAAAATCGAGGAATTTCCACAAACGTATCGCGATTTTCCAGCTGATAGCTGACAGCAAGAAGAAAAGAGGATACGAAGGGACTGAATGGTAGTTAAAGAACTGTCAAGGACAATTAGCCATCTTTTATGGAATTGGAAACTTGGAAACATCATGGAAGAACGATTTCAAAGAATTTTTACAAACGTATCGCGATTTACCAAGTGATAGCTGACAGCAAGAAGAAAAGAGGATACGAAGGCATTGAATAGTAGCTAAGAAACTGTTAAGGACAATTAGCCATCTTTTATGGAATTGGAAACTTGGGAACATCATGGAAGATTTCAAGGAATTTTTACAATTTATCGCAATTTTCCAGTTGATGCCTGGCAAAAGGAAAAAAGGAATAACGAGTGATCAAATGGTATCCTAACCCCTTGCCGTACAATGACGAGCGAGACTCGTGATGAAGATTTCTAGACCAATTTAACAACAATCGTTGTTATTCATTACCCACGGATCAAAGCACGCAACTATTTTGCTATTATCATTGTATTATCTTCAAATAAAATTTCCACTTGAAGTAGAATGTACAATTTTGTTGCATTTCTTACAAATTGTCGATAGTAAAATGGTACATGAGCTTTAGTGACGAAAGTAAATAGTACGGCAAGGGTTTAAGAATGATTTGAAGGTGGTTAACTATTTCCCTTCGACTGGCCCAGCGGCTAATAGCTAAGTTACTAGATCCGCGTGTGTCGACACGACGATTTCTTGGACGAACCCTTTCTGTTGTCCTTAGAGATCGATATTAAGGGTCTTTCGCCCCGTTGGCGTAGCAGCACGCTATCATTAAAATGCGATCTTCATGCGACCGTTCCTAACTAGTACGACCTTGAACGTCCTGTCGCAGAAGAACATTTATAAAGTTGAGAAATAATTGGTCGCCAGGCACCGAAAGTTTGCGAGGCCTGTTCGCGATAAAAGACCGCGGACACGGCTACCGAGAGGCCCGTGGAGATTTATACGCTGTTATCGGGTGCAATCAGAACTTTAGACGGGGTGCTTGCTCTTGAATCGTTGCGCGCGATATAATGTCTGTCAACCGGGCGATTTGTGCGCCAGGTTAGTTCTCGCGCGTGCATTTGTGTCCACAATCGCGTTGAAATCAACATTGTCGTATTTCTTTCAATTCCGGGGATTTATGTTCTTCGCAGGAGTAAAACACCTTGGACACTCTTTGTCTTACATACACTTGTGCTACTTCGAGTTTTATCCATTGCGTCGAATGTTTTATTTCTTAAGTCGATGAAGATGTTCGGATATTTGGAAGTTACAGTTTAAATAGTAACGTTTCATTTACTGCTTTCTCTGATAAGTTGTCATTAATCTACGCGTCACTCAGGAAATTCCGTAGCCATCTTACGGAGAATTGAGTGAACTAACTTAGCACCTAACTGTTTGCAACCAACCGTGTTCCCTGTAGCACTTATCGACAGTTACTTTATTGATCGTTTGTAAATATTTCATTTTCTCTTGGATCAGTAAGTAAAATTATGTATTCAAAGTTAATATTCAGCTGATATCAATTATATATTTTAATATTATTTTTCATCGGAGTCACATATCGACGTGTTTCGCAGGAGTTCTCTAAATCTACAACGATGGTCGTTAGAGGGCAATAGTGTATTTCGGCACGCATGGTAAGCGGTTTGGATACCGTTCTAATTTCTAGATCATTATTCTATCCTAGAAAGAACAGCAAGGATTTCTAATGATTATATTCGGTCGAGTTGTTTTGTCCTAATGGTATGGTCTCTATTAATTATACTCTCGTACGCCATTCTATCGCAATAGTGAAGGAACATGCGCATATCTCTTTGGAGGGGGAAGGTACTGTTAGCCCATATAAGATCCTTATTTGATCATATCTCTCCGTGTAATTCACACTATCAACAAGAATTGTTTATTTAACTGCAGGAAATCCAGATAAAAATGTCTCTGCAATTCGTCGTTATCGCACTCCAATTTAAACAGGGCATTAGTGCTCAATGGATTGATTGTTTTACCATTCGTTCGACGATAAGCTTGCAACAAAGTTGATTTTAGTGTCACGCAGTTAATTTATAATCAACTCAACTAACTTTCATACTGGTATGACTCTCTGCTGGCTCGTGCGTTGCCTATATTATAAAGGGAACAATGTTGAAACGGGTCTGCTGGGCGTTTCATCATTTTCCAAATGGCGAAACGTAGAATAACCGGCAAAGAGAAACATTCATTTGCATGTTCATACTTCCTTATCTCGTCCCACATAATTTCTGCGTATCGTGGAACCGTCGAGCAATGCCAGGCCAACTTTTTCACGACTGCACCCCGTAAATCACGAAAATGTCGTAAGAACGAGAGATCATAAACTTTGATTTTTCAACGGAGCAATTAAACGGATTCGCAAGAAGAGGAATGTTCAATTGTGGTGGCGAGATGTCTCCGATCGGCGCAGATAATCTCGCAGGTCGAGGAACGCTCGGCGTCGGTCACGTCGTCGCCAGTGTATCTTCCTAAAAACCGGCGGGTCGAAAAAGAACGCGACGAGCGCGCCGCGAAGGGTTAAAAATATATCGGACGGTCCTAATTCAATGGCCAGCGGTGCTGGGTAAAATATTACTCCAAGCAGCAAATGCCCTACACTATTTCCCTTTAGAATAACAACTCTCCTACGTCCTATGTATCTCTTTTCAACCGTGTTCCCATTTCTCCAAAATTATTCTCAAACGTAACAAAATCAAAGAAACCTCTCCAGGTCTGCCTTCTCCACTCAAATCACTCATCTCCAACAATCATCAACCAAAACAACGTTTCCCATTTCTTCAAAATTATTCTCAAACTCAGCAAAAT